GCAATATCTTGGAGACTATTCTCATTGCGACCTACTTTCTTGTCTGCTTATAAAAACAATACCTAGTTGTTACAGAATATTTGAAAATATAGAAGTTTTAAAATGAGCATTAAAAGTTACCTACAATCACACCATACACTTATTACTACTGTTAATATATGGTATATTTTCTTTAAAATTTTATGCACTCACACACATACATATATCCAAATATACACACAAATACAATGAACTATATATATGACTATATATATATATATATATATATATATACACACATACACACATGCACACACAGTGAACTATAAGGATAATCTTTAGTCTGTCATAGGTGTTACAACTATTTATTCTTATTTGACATTAGCCTTTTAGTTTTAAGACTATTGATAATTATACACTTTAAATCATTTGTTTTAAAAACTTTGTCCATCAGCATCTCATAATAACCTCTAATGGAAAAGAATCTGAAAAATAATCGAGATATATAGATATATATATATTAATCACTTTGCTGTACACCTGATATGTAAATCAACTATACTTTAATAAAATAAATAAATAAATAATAATTAAGACTTTGTGACTCCTCTAATCGCTTTTATGCTTAGAAAGTTCTTTCACACACTAATATCTAACAGAGTTTCAGTCCTGTTATTTCATTTTATAGTTTTCTGCTGCACGCATCTGGACTTTTTAACTATAAGATTTAAAGAGAGTATCTTATCTAACTTACCGACCTATTAATTGTCTCAACAGCATTTTTTGACTATTCCTCTCTTCACTGATTTATACCATCTTTATCATATCCTGTTATATTTATATCCTGAGATTTCTATCTGGGCTAAGTATTATGTTATGTTGTGTTGATCTGTCCCTTTGTACATTCATTCATGTAACACATGTTTCTGAGGGCCTGTGATGTGCCAGGCATCATTTTAGGCAATGAGGATAAAGCAGTAACACACACACATTCATCCCTCCCCTTACGAAATTTACATTCCGGCACAGGTTGGAAGGAGATTAATGAATACAGAATGACTAAGTAAAATATGTATCATATTAGACAGTCATGAGAGCTGTGAAGTAAAACACTAAAGCAAACAGAACCGATAGGAAGTGTGTGTGTGTGGAGGAAGATGGTGATTACTAGGTTGTTATCGTTCAGTATTTGGAGGCAACCCTCCGACCCTAAGACATAAAATAATCTGAAAACATGAAATACTCATGCTTTGGATGATATCAGAGAATGCTTTTTTGGTGAGGGCAGTGCCAAGAACAGTGCTGTAAATACAAGAGAAATGATTTGTGTGGGAGAATACTATTCTTATTTGACATTACAAGTAGGTTGAACCTTTTCCCCTGGGACTGACTTTGCTGGATTTTATTACCACTTGGACTGTTCCCCATAAACAGCTCTTGATTGACTAAACAAAGAGCTGCTTGTCTTATGGATGGCAGTTCCAAGGTGATCAGACAGCATCCTGTTTGGAAGGCTGACACTCTGATCAATGAAAGTCAAAATAAGTCAGCCCGGAGACTGAATAACAGAATGGCATGATGTTTTCTCCTGTGTTTGGGTTTTTACCAACTTGTGGGCAGTGGCCAATGGCCTGTCTATGAGGTGAGCAGACAGGCAATGGACAACTGGCCTATTAAAGGATGCTTGGGTTGAGGAGAATCCTGTAGAAATCACCATGGAAATTTGAAGGGTGCATTAAAGTAAGACATGTCAATCAATGACCATCAGAAAAACCCCCTACCAGGAGTGGAAGTAATTTGAGCTGGCCAGTGGCTATCCCAGGGTGCTCACTTGAGGTGGCCACCTGGTTCCATGAAGTGAGTGGACACTGAAGGGCTGGAGCAATGCAGAGATGGGTTGATGTGATGGACTGAGTATATGCACCTATGTAACCCTGCCTTCCATGAGTAACAGTGGACCAAGGGGGAGACACTTGCTCATCTAGTATTGTAGTCTACAATCTAAACCAGCACAGTGGCTGAACTTAAACTCCCTTCCAATGGTGGAAAACTTTGGGTCTAAATGGAGAAAAGAAGGAATAGTAACTGAGCATAAAGAAATGAATAAATGGATTGGGTAGTTAGGAAAAACCCATTACTATATTAATGCTTCAGAAAAGGCTCAGAGAGGACATTGTCTTTTCATTCAATTATACCAGATACCTGAAAGGGTGAAGCCATGTATTACTGAGACCACTCCTACTTTTGGAAGGTGACAAGGTTGAATAGAAGCCTGCACACCTGAGGGGACCTATCCTGGGAGACATTTGGGTCATACAATATAATGATGGGTTGGATTAATTATTAATGACCAAATGAGGTTCCAGTAATGAGCTAGAATCTTTTGACTTCTATTTTAACAGGGAAAATCCCCACCCAATCCCAGCTCCTCCAAATGTTAGGCATATTCATATTAATATTCTTGTTATATAAAGGCTACACCAAATATAGAAGTTCAGACAAATATGATCATTTAAGGGAGCCACGGGCAAAAATGAGGGGATAATCTGTTGTATAATAATTTGTCCAGTCTTTGTCCTTGGTTCCTGGGAGGTAACCTCTATATCTTTGACATCTCCTGAGTTATAAGAGTATCTCTGCTCTATGTGAACATCTTAGCCAATCTGAGTTTATGCTAATGAGATGGCTCTGATGGACTTGGCCATGCTGAAGAAAACAATCATGTGATTAAAGGGTTGATACGTGATAGCCACCCAACCTCTTGACCTCTAGGAAGGATGGAGGCTGGAAACTGAATTCAGTCATGCGGCCAGATGATTCAGTTATGACTACATAATGAAACCCCAAGAAAAACTCTAGACACTGAGGCTCAGGTATGCTTTCTAGTTGGTGAACACATCAGCGTGCCAGGAGGGTGATGCAGCCTGATCCCTCAGAGAGAATTCAGGAAAGCTCTGTATTTGGGACCTTCTTCGTCCTTGCCTCGTCTCTTTATTGGCTGGTCCTGATTTGTATCCTTCATAATAAAACTGTAATTATAAGTATAGCACTTTTGTGATTGCTGTGAGTCATTCTAGCAAATTATCAGACCAGAACAGGTCACGGAAACCTTCCTAAATTTATACTCAGTTGCTCAGAGTGTGGGTAGCCTGTAGACCCCTGAGCTTGCAGCTGGCACCTAAAGGGAGGGCAGTCTTGTTGGGGACTGCACCTTTAAGCCTGTGGACTGTGCACTAACTCTCAATGGTTAGCCTCAGAGTAGCGTTGTGGCATTGAAGGTGGCCTTATAGATCTTGCACCAGAAGAAAGAAGCGTGGAGGCCCTAATGCAGACGCATGCCTGGAGGGTTCAAGGACACCAGGAGGCTAGTCTGGCTACATCAGAATCTGCAGGGACACAGGCTGTGTCAGGCCTTCTTTGTACTTTCCTCCAGTTTGTCACCGCCTTGCACCTCCCGTGGCCTTTGGATGCCAGAATCCCCACTTTGGCATTTTTCAGTCCTTCCAAGCATGGCTCCTGTTGACTCTCCCCATTTTTTCACATCAGAACAGTTCATTCTTTTGGCAGAAGGCATTAAGAGCTTCATTTCCTCAAGCAAAAAGTACCCCTCAGGATTTCAGGCCTGTGGTTATCTGTGACAGACCTGGGTTGTGCTTCTGTGCCCGGTAATACTGCTCTCTCCAGGGCAGAACGGCACCTGCCATCTTCACGTGCATCGGGGGTGCTAACGGAAGCCATTCCTGGTTTTCTGATTGTTATCTCTGGCTGATTCCTTCACCTCTGTGACTTCTCTCAGGCATCCTGCGCATCAGTCTGCCACACTGCCTTTCCATTTGGCTGTTTTATCAGAAAGAAGCATCCTCTGTCACCTTTGATTACTAGAGGGTAGGGAAGGATAATGTTCAACCTCCTCCTAGAAAAGAACAAGAAGAAGTGAGTGTGGTTTCTTCCCCTTTTCTCCAGCTGGGAAGAACAGTGGGGAAAATCTGAAAAGAAAAGGTAATGAATGCATTTCATCTGAGACTTTTGTCAAGAACCTTAGGGACTTGGAACACCAGGACTATCAAGTTCCCCAGTAAGAGCACTCGTGCTACTGGACCACTAAGAACAATTTCTTCCATCTCCACCAGTTCTTCAGCAGGGGACACGGCTAGAGGACAACAGACTATCTTTAGTCCATGTAACAGAGCCCTGCCTGCAGAAAACCCAGTGTTTTATCATGATTTGACTAAGGGTAATAAAATATTGCTAATTAGTTCATATAAAATATTTACAGCCATAATACTTGCAAATCCATAAATACATGGATTAATTAATTAATGCAAATGAAAAAAGTCATTAAAAGTTGGCTAACATTCTTCACTAAGAGTTGTTGAAGGTCATAGAAAACAGTACTAATTCTAACGTCCATAAAAACCACATTATCCTCTTATGCCTCAGTATCATGAGTACCATCACAAAGATGAAGGCTACTTAAAGTTTTTTTGGGGGGGGGCAGTAATTTGGGAATTTTTATTTTTACAAATACCTCCGGATGATTTTCACAATCAAGAAAATTTGGGGAACGTGCTTTTCTGCTTCCTTTGCAGATTTTAAGTCTTGAACATCTGGTCCCAGAAATGACCCAATGAAAAAAGTCTTATCCAGTCGAGTTTTAGGAAAGGAAGTCTTCTGAATGTGTGGCTTGTTGTTTCCTAGAAGGCACTGTTTCTCATTTCCATTTCTGGTCCAACTCTTCTAGATCAGGTTTTTCTTGGAGGGTCCATCTTCCTTGGGTTGAGGTATAGCAATACAATCACTTATTAATTTACATCCCTTTTTTAATTTAAGTATAGTTGATTTACAATGTTGTATTAACTTCTGGTGTACAGTACTGTGATTCAGTTAATCTAATCATTTAAAAAATTGGCTTCGTATTAAAAATTGTCATATTTAATTAAATAACCTTTGCTTGCTTGCTTTTGTCTCCTTCCCTTCTGCCCTGAAACTTGTGTTAATAAGTTAGGGTGCTTTGTATAAACTCAATATTTTGGCCTTTCCACCTTAAATTTCTTACTGACGACCCCGTGTATGACAGCCTGGGTCTCATCGTTTTCTTTAACAGGTCCCACTCCCTTTGGTGTCCCTGTCAAGATAATATCTCCTTCTTCCAAGATCATTATCTCAGAAAACATGGAGGATGTCTCACCCTCCTGCCTGAGTTCGCCGTTGACCTTGAGCCAGAGCTTCAGGTTGTGAGGGTCAGGGATCTTCTCTTTGGGCACGAACGCGTTGACGGGGCAGGAGGCCGTGAAGCTCTCGGCCAGAGTCCAAGGCAGCCCCTTCTTCTTGCACTCGTCCTGCACATCCCTGGCGGTCATGTCCGGGCACAGGGCATAGCCGGCCACGTAGTTCCTGGCGGCGGCCTCCGAGACGGCGCGGCCGCGCTTGCCCATCACTACGCCCAGCTCGAGCTCGTGGTGCAGGTTGCGGCTGCAGGCGGGCATCAGGGCCCGCGAGCCCTCGGGGCGTAGGCGGGCCGGCTTCAGGAAGAGCGCCGGCTCGCTCGGCACCTCGCTCTGCATCTCCCTGACTCGATCCGCAGTTCCTGCCACGCACACGATGTTCTTCCCCATTCCCAGAGCGGGACAGCGGCCTGGTGGCAGCCATGGCTCCTGCCTGCTGTCCAAGTGTTTCTTGATTTGTTTAAATTTAATTTGGTTTCCACACCAACATGTTAATGACAAGGAATAATCAGTATTACAATCCATAGGAAGTAAAATAAAGCAATTTTTCAATCTTTTAATAACTCATAGCATTTCTCTACTTTCTCTGCATGAAAAATGTTGCCAGGGGAATACTCCTGACACTCTAGAGTAGCTTTAGGTGATACCACAGTGAGACAGTTCCTGCAGCTCTGACAGGAAATAATAATATCAAAACCACTACACTCGCAGTTTGCAATACTGATCACTTTTCTCTGAGGCGTCACTTCTCTGCCTTCAGTATTAAGGCACTTGTATTTTCTTTGAGCTCTTCAGTTGTTCCTGAAAACTTGCTCTTTTGTTCCTATGCCTCATTTTAGACCTCCTCTCTAATCACTCTTAACAGTACTGGGCAGTAAAACTACATTGCAAGCTAGATATTGTAAATTTCCTAGTAGCCATGTTAGGAAGAAGCAGAAAGAATCAAGTGAAATTAATTTTAGTAATATATTTTGGAATCCATATACTGAAAATGTTATCATTTTAAAGTTTAATCAACATGAAAATTATCAAGACATTTTACATACTTTTTTCATGCTAAGTCTTAACTCCAGTATATATTTTACACTGACAGCACCTCTCATTTTAGACCAGTCCTCTGCGAGTACCCGATAGCCACATGGGGCTCACAGCGACTGTAATGGACAGTGCAGTCCTGTAACCCCTTCCTTTCTAGATGATCTCATCTGTTACTGTAGACTTCCACAGTTCTTCTGAGCTCCAAACCCGCACATAGAATGGCCAAACAGACATGCCATACATACACCTAGAATTGTTTAATAAGTTAATGTAAATATGGTAGTCATTAGTGCTGTTTGATGATGTTTTAATTTTCCTCTTTCTGACACATGGTAGAACTGCATTTTCCTTCCCCTTTGAGAATAGGTGTAGATCTGGGACTTTCTCTGGCTAATGAAATCTGAGCCGAAGCAATGAATATCATGTCAAGACAAAAGGAGCAGGGCTGATTCACCATGATTCCTTCGTTCTGAAACACACCACAGATGCGGCAGAGGGTGGACTCTGCATTCCCCGCGTCCCTAGCATGGAGCTGAGTTCCCAGCCTGTGCTGTTAGTACATACTATGAGTGAGAGATAAAGTTCAGCTTTAAGCTAGTGAGATTTAAGAGTTATACAGTACGGCAGCATAGCTGACCTATACTGATTAACACAATTAGCGATATTATATCTAGACCTAGTGATCCATAACTTCACTTTTGATAACTAAGTGACCACACAGAGGAACAAGAGTAAGGGCCACTGCCAATGCAATTCGCAAAACCCATCTAGGGTACTACAGGGCCATCAGAAAGGACATGAATTAGCAGGAGGAGGGGGGTGGGGAACACTCCTCAAGGAAGTTAAGAAGGAAACTAACTAGTCTCATAGTTACTGTGGTGGAGGGACCAGGTGAAACAGCCCGCGCTTCAGCTGTCACATGGGTTTATTTTTTTCATTAAGGGAAGCATATTCCATGACGTCAGTAGATGTAAGTCCTTCAGCAGGCTCTATACGATTATGGCTACTCTGAGAAATTCAGTAAGATCCATGTCATGATAGCTTACCAAATTTTCATCAAACAAATAATCGGGTTAACAACAGAATATTGAATCACACCATGCAACTTAGCTTGACTTTTCTGTACCCTTCTGGCATTAAGCTTCAAACTGATATTCTCCAGTCTTGAAGAACCACAAGTATCACATGTCGCTGCTAAAACAGCACTCTTAGAACTGATCCCTTCGATTTTATCAGGACCGCCTCATAGTGTGGTAGATCTCAATGGTATTAAAATCTCATTTATTGGATATAATTCTCCTAACAAATACACTTTCAGAAATGCCCTGGGAGTTTCTACATGCTTATGACCTCAAGAAAAGTGATGGCCTACAAAACAGGGGAAATAAACACCCCAGAAAAGGTTTTTACTGAATTGCTGGTTATCGGATTACAGCCACAGCCACCCACAGAGGCAGAGGTTTTAAAGATAAAGGTACTGGAATGATTTAAAAAAGAGTTCAACAGCAGATTTATATAAAACATGAGCTGAAATCAATGGCTAAGTAGAATTACAAACCAAATTTCATAATTAATGTGAATAAAACTCTTTTACTTTTATTAGGAAATATTTCATAATAGGTTTGGTTAACTGAAAACTGAAGCTACTCTTTCCTAGAAGAGAAATGAGTAATAAAATGGGAGAGGGATTTTCTTCTCCTGATTTATTTTATACTGAACACTTAAAATCAGCCAGTGCCTTAGAAAACATTTAGATATTACCATGTTTGTGAACTTTACTGATAGTCTTTCTTCTGTCCCCTGTGTATTACCATTCACCATGTAGCAGAGATCATTACACGGCTATTTAACTTTGGACCTCTTTCAATAGATTCTGGTTATCTCATTAAAAGCTGGCCCTGAAGGCTTGTGGAGCATCTGTGTGTGTCTGTGTGTGTGTGTGAGATGTCTGTCTTAAATGAAAACCTTATATATATATGAAAATGAATCTCATTAGCGTCTGTAAACTAATGTCAAGACTCATAGAAGAAGAGAGATTAAAGATCACCTGGTTTTATTTTATTTCCCCTAATTTTCAATTGTAGCCATTTCTATAATATGCAGTCTATTTTCCTGTTTCTGGCAAACCTCCTCTGGCTGACAGACATCCAAGATGTCCATCCCAGGGCAGACTGTGATTTGATGTATGTAAGCAGTGTAAGCGAGTGAAATAGTCAAACAGATGCTCTCAAGAAGCAGTTTCAAAGATTATATGAAACAATAGGAATACCCTGAAAGAAAGAGCGGTCCTTCGTGGTAGCTGGTCAGCTGTGACTTCCCCAGATAGGCACAAAAGGAGCTTGCACGCACGAATCTGGGACACCAACTTCCCCACAGATATGCCGCGTCAACCAGCCACGGGGCTTACACGACTCATTTATGCCCTCTTTTCAGATTGAAAAGTACATACATCTGGCACTGTTATGCCTGACTGGTGCTAGCTTGTGGCATATGAACAGCTGAGGAATAAATTTGGGGACATTATTAACCAAGACCAAAATGGGCCACTCTGTTTTTCACTGGCTTAAAATAACTGCTCCTATTTTTCTAAAATGTCATCGTCTTCATGTTTGAGGACGTGCATCTCAGTATCAGCTGCCAATGAATTTATAACCAAATAATTCATAAAGCAGCTATTTGTAATATGCACATATCTATCTTCTAGCAAGCCAAAAAAAATAAATTCAGGAGTTTTTAAGTGGGTAGTTTAAAAGACATATAAGGACATTTGAATCTGAGGGAGAGTCAAGCCATTTTTGTGCAGCAGTTTGATGATGCAAAATATAAAACCCTCTAACAAATATTTTGCAAGTCTTCTACAAGTGGATACTATTATGCATGTGAGGAGTTATAAAAAGGCACAAAATATTATCTGTGCTTCCAAATTCCAGCCAATCCAGAAAAGGAAAATATCTATGCAGTGCAGGCGTGCATTAGGGTTAAACCAGCAGGAATGGGGAGAAGGCAACAGACAAGTAATACCCTACAGACCGAGTCTGAAGGACTCAGGGACTCACTGAGTGCAGAAGAACGAAGTGTAATAAATAGATTATGTGACAAGTGACTGAGGATAGAGCATCAACAGGACAAGGACCAAGTAGGACCAAGTTCCGTAGAAAGCATGATATTCATGCTTTGACTCTTAAATAGTTTAATTCCTCCCATCTCAAATAAAATATCTAAAATCTGGGGGTGGGGAAGGGGGACTTCTAGACAATGGCTGATTATAGCAAAGATTGGGAGGAAGGCAATTCTTTAACTCTTTGATTGCCCGACAGATGAGAAAAAGAAAGAAGCTGCTTCGCCCACACGTCAGCCCTCTCCGCCCAGAGCAGACAGTGAAGGAGTCGGGGAGGCACCCGTTAACCTAATTCCAAGAAGAGAGCCATGTGGACTGAATTTTGAACATGAATTTATATGGTCTCTGATTATGTTACTGTGCATCACGCTAAATATTTGACCAGCAAATTTGAGGTTGAAGGTCTGTACTTATCGTCATCTTTTTCTGAGCATCATCTTGGAAAACAGCTATTTTAACTGAATATAATAGCAAATATGGGAATGGGTGAAGGTGAGATTGCAAGTTTATAAAGAAGTGATTCAAATGATCAGATCCTACTGATTTGTTATACACAATGCAAGGAATCACGTGATCATAAAGGCAGACGTTATTCTGTCTTTGCAGGAAAAGCTATTTTGATTTGTAGCTCTTCCTACTATGATCAGCTGGGGCAACACCTGAGGTCCATTAACAATCATGTGGGTTTTGCCCACCATTTTTTTCTTTTTTTTTGGCCACTGTGTATTTCTCCCACTCACTCCAACTGTGGGTAGAATTTTGTTACCCCTTAATTTTATTTATTTATTTTTGAAATATAGTCAGTTTTAAAGTATCAATTTCTCGTATACAGCATAGTGTCCCAGTCAAGCATACATACATACATATATATTTGCTTTCATATTCTTTTTCATTAAAGGTTATTATAAGATATTGAGTATCGTTCCCTGTGCTAGGCAGAAGACATTTGGTTGTTTTTTTTTATCTGTTTTTATATATAGTGGCTAACCTTGTAAATCTCAAAATCTCAAATTTATCCCTTCCCACCCCCTTTCCCCTGATAACCATAAAATTGTTTACTATGTCTGCAAGTCTGTTTCTGTTTTGTAGATGAGTTCATTAGTGTCCTCTTTTTTCTTTTTCATTTTCTTTTTTTTTTTTAGACTCCACATATGAGTAATATCATATGGTATTTTTCTTTCTCTTTCTGGCTTACTTCACTTAGAATGACAGTCTCTTGGTCCATCTATGTTGCTGCAAATGGCATTATTTTAGTCTTTTTATGGCTG